TTGCCATTTCGATGTCATAGCAGGAGAAGCACAGGTGTAATTAATAACAAGGTCTATTTAATGGATTAATAGTACGTTCCATTTACTTCAGTGCAGTGTCCATTTGTGCAGGACAAACTATAATTCAGCAAAGAAGAGTTGATTGTATGAAATAAATAAACGCTGCATCAACCATTACAACTTATACTAAAATAGGAAGGGAGGGACTGTTAGTGCCAATGACGTTTGCTGCTTATTGTGGTTTTAGGAGCATTTATTACTTATATAATTCCTGAAACATGGCTTGACCATATTGCTAAAATCTCATTCACTTTAATGTTTCCTGCCAGATGAGAGGTAATTTAAGCATTTCAAAACAAAAAGAAAGAAATACAGTTTCATTGTGAGTCCTGGATATCACAGATATTTACTTTATATACAGTATCTGTCTTTTTGTAACATCATAGAAAGGCTACTTTATACAGTGCTCCCTGTAGTGAATGCATCCTTTGTTCCTGTCCATTCATACTGTGTCCGATGTCAGGGACCACCTCGTTTAGATGGAGAGACCTGCACATGTGTGGACTTCAGAGGAAGCTAAAAATAAAATATCATTGCAGGGGATCCAGCTTAACAGCGACCAAAAGAAAGAAACTACCAACAGAGTAATAGAGTGCTCGCTCATTGAAAATGCTTCAGATTACTTTGGATGAACACATATGCTGTGAATGGCACTTTATTACGTGCACTTGTGTTTGTAGGATAAGCTGATCAGCTGATACAGACAGCAGATGGCAGGAAGACAAACTGGAAGTACAGCACACTGAATATTTTATACTCAGCCTCCTGGGAGACCGTACAGTGACAAGGATAGAGAGAGAGGGAAAGGATTCAGAGGGAGAAAATAAATGGCTATGGATAACAGGGCAGCCGTGTATTATTTAGATCAATATCTGTCAATAGAAGAGCTGGTTAAAGGTCCCATGTGTAACATTTAGGAGGAACAATTGGTAGAGATGAAATGAAATATTCATAGCTATGTTTTCATTAGTGTATAATCACCTGCATATAGGAACTGTTGTGTTTCCGTTACCTTAGAATGAGCTGTTTAGAACCGTCCACCATGTTGAACCGCCATGTTTCTACAGCAGCCCAGGCAGGACAAACACAACACTGGCTCTAGATATGGCCTTTCACATTTTTCCTGAGTTTCCGTAGTTTCTCCGACACACTTCACAGCTGGTTTTCATTCCCAGGTCGTCACGTACAGATGCCGGCGGTGTTCAGCTACTTGCAATCTGAGACTTCACCACTAGATGTCAGTAAATCCTACACACTGGTCCTTTAAGTAAAGTCCTACAATAATTACAACAGTTCCTCACTAATGAAAGATAACTGACAACCGTACATTCAGTTTTTTCTGGTGCAGCCTTCTAGTACCTTTTTATCATCATCATCAGTCATCATCAGTCATATCGGTGCAACATCGGACTATTTTTATTCCAGCTCATAAATGCACTATATCAGCTGCCATATTGGCGAATGTTTCCCCTTTAAAATCGGTATCAGTCTCAAAAATCCCATTTAGGTCGGGCTCTAACATCTTGTACCTGCTATCACTCAGGTGAGTTTGGTTTCTGAGATGATAACATTTGCTTGCTTTCCCTTTTTGGAAACTTTATTGGGTAAGCTGATGGAGGTGATATACAGGAAGTTTGAGATCTCCAATGTGAGTCAAAGCTCTTACTTGGCCACACTATTATCTTAATTTTGAAGCTAACTCTGTTCTCGTAGTGTAATTTGTCTCATCATAGAAACTCTTTAGTTTGAGCTTTCAGGCAGAGGGATGCAGACTCTGGTCCAGGATTTGTGTTTAATGTTCCCATCTGGCACTGAAAAGGTTCTCTGTACCCGCACGCTACTGTTGCCATTGTTCACAGCGGGGAAGGTGTTACTTGGCCGGCTTCATTTGTGCCAGACATACTGCTTAGCATTCAGGCCAAAAAATCCCTCCGTAGTCTCACCAGACCGGCGGACTCTGTTGCTACACCTCTGCAGTGTCTTTGAATGTAGTGAAATCAGTGTTTTACCAATTCTTGGCAGGAAAATGGATGATTTATTGTCCAAATACTGCGTCTCCCATCCAACTCTTCGACTATCTTCTACAGACAAGACAGACATTTTTTAATAATCTAAAATTCTCAAAGCTCAGAAGATGATGTTTCTCCAGTGTCCTACACTGATGATAATGAATTGAGTTATACAAAGACCCAGTGGTTTAATGACTTGACGTAGGACTTGATAGCCAAGACTGACTTGGGACTTGTTACACTTTTGCCCTTACAATCTAGTAGCATCTTAATGTGTAGGATTTAGTTTCATCTAGCTATCTTGCAGTTTTTAACTCCCTCACTTCACCCCCACCTTTCAAGTACGAAGGAGAAACTACGGTGGTTGCTTAACCCTATCTAGACCCAGTGTTTGGTTTGTCAGTAGATCTACAGTAGAGAGACTTGTAGAAAGGCCGTAGTTTCTCCTACACACTTCACAGCCCTTCCCCAGTACCAGGTTGTCAAACACAGACGCCAACGGCACAACCACACAAAGTCCTGGGTGTGCTGCTACAGGGTCCAGGTAGAAGAAGACGTACAAACCAGGAAGTCCAGTCTGATTTACTAAAAGTTACTACACCACTGCTTTGTGTTTCTCTGTGGCAGCATCCACTGCTGCAGGGCTCTAATTGAAATGAATGAGGGAACCTGCGTTTTACTGCCGCAGTGCCTGAAAGTGTTGTTACAGAGAGAGAGAGAGAAAGAGAGAGAGAGAGAGACAGGAGGAGAGAGAGCAAAAGAAAGACCTTGTTTCTAATCCCCTAGCCTGTGTATGTCTACGATCTCATGCCTCTGTGGCAGTCACATAGGCCTGATGTCCTGTGGCTTTATAGAAACATACATATGGAGATCACACTGGACAGCTGGATGTTGGATATGTAAGATTATCCTGCAGCTTCTATTTTGGATTAGCGTCTTTTAAAGGGTTAGAAAATTCTATCGTCTGTGCATTTGTAAAAAACCTTTTAAAATATGCAAAGTAGTCCAGTTAAAAACAAGGCTTATGTAGAAAATGTGATTTAAAATGAGCAGAAATGTAAACATGTGAGCTTCTGTTTGCTGTAAACAGAGGCTTCCTTCAAGGTGTCCTTCTCTGTTTACCTCCGTCTCTTCCTGTCCTCACCACAAACCCAGCAGAAAACGCTGACTGTGCAGGGTCCCTTGAACATGCAGCAAGGCAGTGATGAAGAGCAAGGCCCGTGATTGGCCGGCGAGCACCCCACCCATTTAAAACTCTACAATAAAGCAGGAGTACCAGCTGACTCCACACAGGAGAAAAGACTGTTCTGCTGCAGCGGCACTGCATGCTGGGCTTTAGCTCTCTCTTTTGATGCAGGGAGGGGTCATGCAGACTGCGAGCTCTTCTCCAGCTCGTATTTACACAGATACACATCCACAAGACTCAAGTGCTAACTAATGAGCAGCCTTAAAGGAGCAGATAAAGAACAATGCTCAAGGGTAGCTCTGCTGTCTGCTTGGATTTTTCAAACCCTCCTGAACTATTTTGGTTTTTGTTTCTGTGTGTGACATTATGCAGCCAGTAACACAAATAAATACAAATAAATGTTATTCCCAAACTGAGCATACATACATACAATGAAGGAAAAAGTATGTAAGTCAATTGTGGTCCAGTGTGCAGCTTATACAGTGTGATCCAGCAGTGCACAGACACTGAGGATGGACTTTACACTGAAGGAGGAGACATCTTGTGGAAAACTTTAAAAATGAACAATATTTCCATGCTTTTTAAAGATTCTAATGTGGAAATTATACTTATTTGACCTTGTGTGTCTCTAAACAGAAGTAACTCCTAAATTCTTTCCCCTTTCCCTCTTAAATTTCAGTTACTTAATCCTGACCCGGTGCTGTGGTGCGAGTCCAGACCAGGACAGAAGAACAATGCTTTTACCATTGCCACTGAGATGAGATTTGGCAGCCAAGCATACGATTACAAGTGACACTAATTGGCCAGTAACCATGGTTAACAGGGGGCCGATGTGAATGCCTGTTCCAGATGGTTTTTGAATTAAACAAGCGTGCTTCGTCAGTGGGCTACCTGGGCTTTATCCTGACGAGCTCACATGGAGAGGACCTTCCCCCTGTAATTACCTTTTACCTGATCTGTGTTTGATCTCTGCAGTTCCATTAGGTGCTCACTTGGGACATATTATCACTGTCAGGTGATAATCTCACATAATCGCCCTTCAGTACTCTCTTATTTTAGTCCAACTATCCATTAAACTACTTCTACACATTTAAAACCGTCTGCTTCCCAAGGTTGGTGCACACATTTCCTCACCACCCACATACAAAGAAAGAAAATCAGATGAATGATGGGGTTGTCAGGCTGATGAGATGTGCTTTACACAAGTGCTAAGCAACAGATAAAAAGGGATCAGGATGAACAGGCCAGTGCACCCTCACCTAGAGGTTACCATGGTAACTAAAACACCCATCAAATACCAGTCTCCCAGTGGGCTCATTTCCCCTCCTGTATGCCAACACTAACTCTGGCAGGACAGCCGCCAGAAGTATTGCTGCTTTGAGGAGCCGTGATGAAGATAAATAAAAGGCTCCGAGACAGAATAAAGTATTTTATAATCATTATTATACAGAGTTCTTACTATTTAGCTACTTGGTGAGGACTGGAGGCAATTAGCTGACCATTTATAATCTCCACAGCAGGTATTTGCTGATCAGATCTCTCATTTCTACACATTTACAGTAAGACTAAATAATAATATCACATCTGAATATAATATAAATAATATTACACTAACACTAACAATAATGTTACTTTTCTCTTTTTCCAATGTGGCTGCAGTTAAAAACATTGTATTTATAAATAAAGTTTCACCTCTGCCAGACACACACACACACACACACTCGCCCCCTGTGCGCCCTCCTCACCTTTCTTGAACTCCTCCAGCATGGCGTCCAGTTTGGTGTCGTTGAAGACGCAGTGCAGCGGGTGTTTGTAGAACAGGGTGATGGTCTTCAGCGGGGTGCAGTCGTCCGGGTCCACGAACGCCAGGTCCTTGACGAACAGGATGTCCACGATGTTGGACCGCTCGTTCTCAAACACTGGTATCCTCGTGTATCCACTCTGCATGATATCCGACATGGTGTTGAAGTCCAGCACTACGTCCGAGGCCAGCATGAAGCAGTCGGTCAGCGGCGTCAGGACGTCCTCCACGGTTTTGGTGCGCAGCTCCAGCGCGCCCTGGATGATGTTGAGCTCCTCTTTGACCAGGTCGTGGTAGGGGTCGGTGACGCGCAGCATCTCCAGGAGTTTCTCTCTGGTGTAAAAGTTGGAGATCTCCTGGTTGAGGATGAGGTCCAGCAGCTTGCTGATGGGGTAGGAGATGGGGAAGGAGAGCACCATCAGCAGCCGCGTCACCCAGATGGTTTTGGAGGCGATGGCCAGACCGTGACGCGACGCGACCGAGTGTGGAAGAATCTCCCCGATGAAGAAGATGCCGAAGGCGCAGATGACCGTGGAGAGCCAGGTCATGCCCAGGATCTGGCACATCCACACGGCCAGCGAGGCGTTGATGATCGCGGTCCCCAGCAGCAGAGTGCACAGGACGTAGTTACCGTGCCGACGCACAGACTCGATTTTGCGCGCGTAGTTCTGCTCCTTGTCGGTGCCGCTGTTCTGGAGGACCTGCAGCTCCACCGGGTCCAGCGCCAGCAGGCTGAGGTTCAACCCGCTGAACAGGGCTGACAGTCCGAGCAGCAGCACGGACACCAACACCTGCAGCCAGAGCTCCGGGACAGCCGAGCGCTCCGCCACAGCCACCCAGAAATCCCGGGTCCGGTAGTGTTCCCATTTGGACCCGTCGAAGGCGCACATGGAGTAGTATTTGATCTTCTCCCCCCTCCGCAGGTCCTTGGCCAGCAGCTCCACCAGCACCGAGTTCTGACTGGAAGCAGACTTGAAAGAACCTAAAACCTCGATGTCGGACGTCCTGGCGTTCTTGTCCATGCACATGTTCCGCTTCGGGTGAACTTGTCCCTCTCGCCCGGGAGTTGGCTCCTCGATGAAGGCGATCCAGGGCGCGGCGTTGTTGGCGCGAGTCCCCGCGGTGCGGTTGAGCCTCTGCGGGGAGGTGGAGTAATAAACCCGCAGCATGAAGCGGGTCCCCTCGATGGCTTTCAGCACCCCGTCCTCCACGGACAGCTCCGCCCCGGTCTCCTCCGGCCGAAAGCCGAGCAAGCCGAGCGCCGGGGCGGGGAGCAGAGAGCAGGCGGCCAGGGAGAGCAGCAGCAGGCGGGAGGGAGACAGCGGAGCCCCGCGGGAGAGCAGGGCTCCGGTTCGGGACCGCGCGGCCGCATCCTCCGCAGCCATCATGCGGTGTGAGATGCTCGCTCAGTCCAGGGCTCCGTGGTCACGTGGTGCTGCGTGGTTCCGGTCCATGTGGGGAGAGGGAGGGACCCGCAGTTCTAACGGCGGTGAGTATGATGTTCTCAGAGAAGCATGCGCGCTCCACTGTGCCGTGACGTAACTTTCTAATAATAGCCTCGAGCTCACTACCATGAACGTGACTAATGCTACTGTAGTTTGTTTATTTGTTTATTTGTTTATTGATCTCAGTCGCTGATTTATAGTGAATGTAATGTGTTCTATGATCATCTGCGCCAGTGTCACTTTTAAACGAGTTGTGGTGTGCGCAGGGGCGTTTCCACACTTTTCTGACTGGGGGGGCACTGACTTACGTTGGGGCGCGGGGGGGGGGGCATCACGTAGCCTACGTGTCTCAGCTTTCCGTCATTCCCTGTTTATGCCACTCCAGTTCTGTTTAGGGACCCCAGTATGCCGATAATCAGATATTTTCACCCTGAAGCTTTAAAATGGAGCCGTTAGCTCTAGAAAACAGCGTGGAGTGGAAGAGTTAGTGGTCATACACAGTGAGCTTAAGGTTCAACATCACTTTATTGGTACCTGTAGGATCTGGTTTGTCCTTTTGACAAAACAAACAAACAACAGAGACAGAAAACAAACATGATACAAACATGTTAGAAACATGATAAAGGATGAAGATAAAAGATAAAAGTGCCCGGCTTTAAAAATCAGGACTTACAAAGAGAACAATAACTTGATCATATTTAACAATAGAAAATCTATTACTATATATTACTAATAGAAACTGTACTATGATTATAGTGACTTATAGTGTATTGAAACAACTCAATCCTTAATAATAATATAAAATCACTCTCTAAGAACAGCTAAAGTAACACTGTGTTTGCACATTTTTATTATAAATCTGTTTACTGTATTCCATAAAAGTCCCAACCTGACTTCTTTAAGCCTTACGTTCTTGTGTTGAAGACCTGATGTGTAATAGAAACATGGTTCCACCTCCACCAGGTCACAGAAGATCCCTTCAGTTGACTGACCGAAAGAAGTGCTGAAAACCATTTATTGACCAATTATTTACATTTACAACGGCTGTCTTCAGATTGCTGTAAAAACACTTGATTAAACACTTACTAACCCTTATAACTGCACACATGAGGGTCTATAGAACATCAACCATCTTCAAGCCTCCAACCCAAAGTGTCTTTTTCCAGCTCTGATTGGTTGTTGTTGTTCGGGTCCAGTGGATTCTTGCAAGTGCCGTTAGGAGCCACTAGGAGGAGCCAGAGGAACCCTAGTCTTTCACAGACACACAGATACAGTGTAAGTTATATATTTATAACAAAACATTAGTTACAAGAATAAATCGGCAGTTTCCAGTGGTAAACTATAATTTATGTGACCTCTGCATTGGAGTCATTCAGTCTCTCACCAGGAGAACCGTTACTCTAACCGGTTCAGCAGTCCTTTCTTTTTAAATGAAAGCTTCAATAAGATGAGAAGATGAGAAATGAAGGTCCAAAACATTTACAATCAGTAATAATCTGTTTACTACACACGTCTTCTTCAGTCTTAGTAGAAAGTGGTTCCACATTTTGGTGTTTTTGTGGATAAACCGTCTGGTCTGACAACAGCAGCTAATCCCATCCTGATGTTAGTGTCCAAACAATGTTGCCTAAAGTCCCAAAGACCTTGAACATCAGACGGAGAGAAAGATGAAGACAGTGTTTGGATTGATTGGATCCTGGATACAAGTACAATACGCACAACGTGACCAAAAGTATGTGGACATCCAAACATTACACTCATGTGTGATTGTTGAACACCTCAATCTCCTCTCTTCGCGTTCAGTCTGTCCACCAGATGTTGGACCCAGATGTGAGGTCCAGCAGGGAGATGTTGGCTCGCAGTATCAGCTGTATTTACTTTGCTCAGTCTGCCCCTTCTGTCCCTGCCCTGGTTGTGCTGTATCTGGAGCTGCTGCAGTGAGTGAATTTCCCCAGTGTGGGATCAATAAAGTCGGGGTCCTGTGCTTTTTCCACACCAAACTGGGAAAAATATTTCTTTACGTACGATGGAATCAACAAACTGTCACAATGCTGGAACAACACTATTTGCCCAAACCTTTTTCCTTGCAGGGCCAAAATTGAATGAAACTGAATGGAGGGCCAGGGGCCAAAAGCAAACACTTATTGTTAGAGTTGTTCCGATTCTGATACCAGTATCGGAAATTGCTCCGATACTGCTGAAAATGCTGGCATCGGTATCGGCGAGTACTGGAGTCCAGGCACCGTTCTGATACCACGTAATTTATTACATTAGTATGCTATTTACTGGTTAGCTCCCGTTAAGCTCTGGTACAAGTTTCTTTCCTTCCACCGCTCTTAAAACAGTTGGCGCTTTGTGGCCTGCAAACCTGCCAAGCTTTTGCCCTTTGTTTTTTTAAAAGAAGGAACGAGGAAGGAATCCGATCACGTGAACACTGTAACAACAACAACACGTTGGTCCGGTAGCCCGGTTTGAACGGAGGGCTTGGCTAAAGCTTTAAGTAGCACTATCAATGTCGCCCGGTGGTGGCAATATTTCACAAACTGGAAATCCTCCCAACAGTTAAGACTTGCGAACCATGTTAAACCGTGTTTGCCAAAGATAAAATCTCCAAGGGGTTTGGCATGAATACCATTTGAAAATTTTTTTGCTGTATTTTAATTCATTGTTTTTTTACAAGGGTTTTTTTAACCTGAGCCACGTTTACCACAAATGGAATCAATCATATCAACAGTCCAATGCAAGGCGTAGTTGATATTTTTTTATAACAATATGGTAATCGGTCCGGTAAAACTCGGTATCGCTATACCCACAGCACAAGTATCGGAATCGGTATCGGGAGGGAAAAAATGGTATCGGAACATCTCTACTTATTGTATCGTTAAAATGCAAACTACTACTAGGAACTTCTACCTGAAAACAGCATAAACAGCAAATGATACAATCATACAGTGGGCCAACTCTGGCCCCCAGGCCCTGGTCTAAAGTATTATAATGATAATGATCATAAATATAATAATACTCTGTGTTGTAACATTAAGACTGCCCTTAACTGAAAATAAGGCACCTTACCCAAACCATGCAACAGCTTCAGACCAGTGTTACACAAAGGTAAGTGCAGGGGTCTCCACATACGTTTGTGCCACATACAGTATTTTTCCAACAAATTAACTCTTTTCGATTCTTGAACCGCTTCCATTCAGGATTTGAGTCTTGGTGCTAGCCAGAAACCCGCATGTCCAAAAGGTTTGAGTGAAACCATTGTAATTTAAGACCCACTTTGATTCCCAACGCTTCTGGTTTTGAACCATTTTGTTCTCTAGATGCTTGAACTGGAACGGAGCGAGTTCACAATCTGGGGAAATGAGTGTAAAATTTTGAGGCAATATCAACATGTTGTTTCATGTCTGTTTTCAGATTTATGCTTCCATAACATGTCTTCTCTCAGACAAGTGGAAAGAAAAAATACATTCAGGTGTTTCAAGACGCCTCATTTCCATTATTAAACTTAACATTTCAGAAAACTCACACACAGAAATGATCTTATGTAAGTAATCATTAAGTAATAGTTTCATGGTGAGATATATTAGTTCAACTTTTTTAATGTAATTTTACAATATGTACCTTTTCCATTTTTTTCTCAGAGCCAGAAATCTCCACAGTACACTTATTAGCACTAACATACTTCCCAGTTTCATTACTTTCTATATTCTGGAGGTTTTTTACTGAGGGTTTTGTTCATTTATTGTTTACAGCTGGTTTATATAATATTTTATTCTTAAAAACATGGAATGAAATTAGTTTTTTAAGGCTGTTGTTGACAGTATTTTCAGATTTATGGATTGATAAAAAGAGAAATAAAAAATTCCCTCCATAAAAAAATCTTTGACTCTAATACATCTATAATTCATCCAAAATTCAGATTTCTGTTCTGGAAATTTAAACAAAATAGTGCATATTTAGTTGAATACTGCCACATTTGCATCAAATATCAGAAGTTTCATGGTGATATCTTACTTAAAATGTTTACCCTGGTGTCTTTCCTTAAAAGAGATAAACGAGTGAGCTCTTACAGGAAATTTAGTATTACTTTCGTAGCATCCGTGACAGGCTTAAGTTAAAAAAGAGAGACACACAGCTGTTATAATTCAAATAACAATGCTGAATTGTATTACATTTGCATCAGTGGAAGCTAATATAACGGCACAAGCTGCAGAACACTGCGATGACACTGTTCTCCACATGGTGGCAGTAGTGTAAAAGCTACCAGAGGCTGGAGGACCATCACGCCCACGTTAAACAATACCTTGTCAGGTTTGTTTTTCATGTCACTTTTAGTAATTATACTAACATGTCATTCTAATATAATAGTAATACCATCTATTACAGACATGTTAATCATCTTGTTTGTATTCCTTTTATTAGAGTTCATTTTTCTGTTGATGTTGTCAGTGTTATCGTTGGACTGGTCATTTTTATATCAAGACGTCCAATAACAACAAATAAACAAATTACAAGTGCAACATCTGGTGCTCCTTTTTAAAGATAAATCAACATTTTTAAACATAAATTAACTTTTTCAGTCAATTCTGTCCACTAACTGATTTCACTGATTTCTAATGTTATATTTTTTATTCTATTTTCTTCGACATAGATTATATCGACACAAGGGTGGAGGAAGTATTTAAATCGTTTACTTAAAGCTGCAGTAACTTTTATGAAAATAACTTCTTGACAGAATTTGTTGTTTTTTTTTAAACTGTGTACTTTTATTTTAACACACTCTAAAAACAAATGTTTTGGTGCACCAAAAAAAATTCATGCAACAGTTTGCATCAGCCTTTTTGAGTCATGTCAACTTCTAAGGAAATTGTGTTCAACAAATGTACCACACTGAGTACAGGGAATTAGCTTTTCCTCTACACAAAGGTTTTTTAAATTACAACTTAATTACTATTTGGTGGCATAAAAACAAGTTTTCAGTTTGATTAGGAGACACTGTAAAACCAGATAAGTTAGTTAGTAAACTACAAAGTAGAAGAAGTAAAACAAACTCAATTAAAAAAAAACATTCTTGATTAAGTACATTTAGTAGTAGAGACACTGACTTCATTTTGTAATTTTTATTTGTACTGTGAAAAGAAAATACTAAAGTACTTATTCAAGAATATTTCTGTAACTTACAAAACTAAGTTAGTGTCACTTAAAATCACTAGTAAAAGCTGCTTGATCGAGAATCTTTTTGTACTTAAATTGAGTTTGTGTTATTTAAGATGGTCGATGTAATCCACTTTAGTTGAAATATCATATTACAGTGTACTCATAAAATGAAATAGTTTGAACTAGTTTAACCGCGTTATTTATGTCAACACAACTCAAAATAATGTTTGCAACTTAAAAGGTTTATTTAAATAAATTAGTTAGAGTGTTTACCTTGCAACCATGCGTTGAATTAAGTGGTGGTAATAGTGCATGCAACTGTAATTAATGAGGGAATTTCTTATTTATTATAACAATTTACACAAAATTATGCACAATGTTGTTTACTTTAGCTTGTAATACACTATTTAAATTATTATTACTTGTTATTATATTATTACATTTAAGTGGAAATTCAGGTTCACACAGATTTTATCCGGCCTCGGGTTGGGATGGCCGTACAGTATCACACCTGACAGACATAACAAAGCTGAAACAGACAAGAGAGGGAGACTCAACCTTATTTGACGTTTCAGTTCAGCTTTCCACAAAAACGACCGGTAGAAACCATGAGAGCACTTTTTACTTTATACTTTTATTGCAGTTCAGACTTTTACTTTTATTTATATATAGAAGTTGAAGAAGAGTCTTTTTTTACACAAGTATCTGCACTTTTACTTGAGTAAAGACAGTGTGTATTTTTGCCACCCTTATCTTCCATACCGGTTGACATGCTGACAGTAAACCGACCTGGGACCAGCTTTTGCTCTATGAGCCCTTGTTGCTGCTGGGCGGAGTTTTGTGTCTGTTGCAGCACTTTGCTAACACTGCGCGGTGTAAGTGGTTCTTTCTAACCCCTGACAGTCTCCTTAATCAGCTGTAAGCTGACTGACATTCTCTACCAGGAAAGTAATCGTGTGAAATGAAGAGAAAAGGCGCATTTTGAGGCAGCAGCTGCGGTTACACAGCGAAACGTGGCTCTTGCGTCAGTCAGCTCGAGTATTGGGACACTTTCAAAGTTGCTCAGAAATCACAAATTCCGGTCAATATTTACAAAAGCAGGTTAGTGATTAACTGTGCTGGGTTGCAGCAGCTGCACACAGTCCCAGCACACAGTCCCAGCACACAGGCAGCGAGCAGCTCGGCCACTCAGTCCGCTTCACAATGCTGTGCGTCCGGGCATGGAGAGGTCTGAGTCCCCTGCGCACAGGAGCTCACCTGTCGGCATGGAAACGAAGCCAGAGCTACACAGCGGCTGCTAACCTGGACCTCAGCGGGATCTATCCGCCCATCGCCACCCCGTTTACCGCCGAGGAGCAGGTGGACTACAAGAAACTGGAGGGAAACCTGCAGAAATATGCCAAGATAGCGTTCAAAGGTCAGACCTGAGGCACGAGTGAACGAACCAGACTCGGCCAGTGGAGTGTAGAAAGAACAGCAGAGTTAAAGGGGGTTCGCCAGTAAGCAGGAGCATGTGTGACTCAGGTTGACTCCTTCAGGAACACGTCCAGTTGAACCTAACAGTATGTGGGACATCAGCTAGACTCCTAAACTCATTTCACTGTTCAGACCCTGCTGAGAGGTTCACTGTCAGTCAGTCATTAGTGTTTGTTTAGGGACCTGGCAGAGAGGACAAAGTTCAGCATGGAGGAAGAAACGCAAAATCACCTGGAGGCCTGCGGGTGTTTGTCGCCCTCTGGTGCTTTTGTATTGGTACTATATATATACATATAAATATATGCAGCTGTAGTAGCCTCTACTAATTATGTTGCTGCTATTATTGGCATTAGTAATACTTTTTAAATGATTGTTAAACTCCTACAACTATCAATTCTACTGCAACTATTACTATCCTATATACACACTGCTAATGAAATATCTGGTTTGAGTACAAGTAACTCAGGTATTTCTTAAGGTAACTTGGATAAAGTAAGTTAATTCTACCAGTTCCCTTCAGTTAATAAACTTAAACTGAGTAAATGTATTTATATTCACTCATGCAGCATTTCTCTAAACGTATTTAAAATTAGTTAACAGAATGTGTGAGAAGACATAAATGCATCTTCTTTCTACAAATGTTCCCCCTTCAGTTGAATTTCCTCAGTTTTCTACATTTACATCAGCTGTACGACAAAAACAATTTACAATTAATCGATTATCAGAGTGGTAGCCAATTACTTTTCTGTGGATCAACACATTTAATTGTTACTGCTGTAATTAAGTTGTTAACAGTGGCTTTTACTTTATGTGACTGACATCACATTTATTTATTTATTTTTTGCTTACATGTTTGTAACGATAAGTCAAATGTGAGTCAATTGAACAAACTGGAATCACCAATATTATAATAATTAAAATATTACACAAGTTTAAGCTCGTTAAAACAACAGAGTTTAATAGATTTCATTCATGGGACTTACTCCACATTTTTTGGAGGCTAAAGTTCTGTTTAGGCTTTGGGGTGCAGATCTGTACATCAGAACATAAAACCTGTCAAAGATCCAGTCTGTGATCTTTGACGCACTCTCCGTATCTTTGACAAATACAAACATATCGCCGCCTTGGATACAGCCGTGTTTTTGTGCTTTTATTCCAGTGAAACGTTTGGGGCCGCCTGTCCTAAAAGCTTGATTCGGTGCAGTGAGAAGGCTGAGAGGACTAATCTATGTTTTTAGGGTTGTAAAAAGTCCTCTTTGCAAACAGATGATAGATATTTTGTGTGAATCTCTTCAGTCAGGTTTCACTTTCCCAGTCATTGTTGTTGTGGGTCAATGACAGAAGAGCTCCTACAGTCGGTTTGTGGAAGCCTCTCTGGCCACTGTACGGTTGGTTAGCAGACGATCAGAGGGATGAACATAAGGGGATAACTTGACCTTCTTTGCAGAAGCAACAAAAGCAGAATAATGTGTATTGTGTTACAGGTCTGGTGGTTCAGGGCTCCAACGGTGAGTATCCGTACCTGACGGAGGAGGAGCGGGTGGAGGTGGTGAGGACGGTCAGACAGTCGCTGCCGGCGGACAAACTGCTGATGGCCGGATCAGGCTGTGAATGTAAGTCTGACTGCCTGGAAGCACCTCTAATGTACAGCATGAACCACTGCAACTATGAAAAAATATGTTTTATTTAAATGTAAGTTTAAGATTAATTGATAAATAACAAAAGCAATGAAAATAATTAGAGTTGACATTTTAATTATTTTTCAAAAATTGACACACTGTCACAACACTGTGTCACTGACACTGACATAAAACTAATTATGGAAAACGCAAAGTTCAAAAAGATAACTGCTGAAATTGAATTCTATAATGTTTTAGAATAAAGATAATCATCATCTTAAAGTTTTCTTTGTTAAAGTAAAGTTAGTTTTGCAGCAGTTCATTCAGACTGAACGCAGACAGAAGAGTGAAAATACAAACTTTGAGTTAACTCAGTTACGTCTCCCAGTTGTTCAAACTGCTTTCATTAAATTGTTTTATTCAGAACTACAAACATTTTCATTTTAAAGAGTCTTCAAAAGAGCTCAAATTGTTCCTACAGGTGTGTTCAATATAGATTTTCGTGACCTTATTTGTCACATTTAATCATATACGTAAGGTATACAGTATTAGGTCGTGACCTCATTTAGGATCCTAGTGGCCTGAGGGTAGAAGGGAACGGGCTTCGTTCCAGTTCAAGCACCTAGTTTTGAACTGCTCTGAGCGTTTTGACCTAAATGTTTGGAACCCAAATAATTGGTTCCCAACTGGAAATTATTTAGTTAATTTGGTGGAAACGCAGCCCTTAACCCTGGGGTGCTCTGGTGTTAAGGATGAGGGTGGCTGAGCTGGGTTCCCCTTGGAAAACCATCATGGAATCTCCTGTAAATTGATTAAAATAACTAAATATTGTAGATAAAATCTGTATGTTTTCCTGGTAGCCCCTCGCCCCAAATCGCCTACATAAACCTTTGGTGCGTGTTTTGTTTGAAAGTTGACTGCTGGTAGGTTGAGCTGCTCAGATGTTAATCATACCTGCAACAAAATCCTTCACTTTCTAAAAGTGGCTTGATTTGAACTGTTGGCCACATTATTGTTAGTAAAGTGTAGTCGAATTGCTGCCGACTACACAAAATCAGCTATGATGAGAAGAGCCGAACATGTCACAAAAACAATCTTCCTGTAAGGAACCTGAGACACTTGATTACGAACCCTGCATCAGTAAACAAGGATGAATAAAACTGGGGTAAAATGTGTCAATACTAGGCTTTCTGGTAAATGGTATGACCTGGAAAACCCCTGGAAAATGCCCTAAAGAGATCCTGGAAAGATCCGCTTCCACGTGCACAGTGTTTAATCTGTGAGTTTTGTGACGAACGTGCAGGGACAATGCTGTAGTTTTCATAGCTCATTATTGACTTGTGGTGTTATTCGTAGATATAGATATAAAAACCTTCTGAGCGCTCAATTCATCTATTATTTCACAGATATTTATTCAGTAAATATTTCAGGGACATGTTTGTTACATTATTTGTGTCGGTCTTACTTGGCCTTTACTCCATGAAATGATGCTGATGGAAGAGCTGATTTGAAAACCAAGGTCTGTTTCCAAGTCTTTTTTTTTCCTCTTCCTCTCTACACTGATGTTCAGTCTTTACGTCCGTCTCTCCCCGTGGTCCTCTTTACTGCATCTATACTGTGAGTTATTGAGGTCAAGGATGTTGTATTTAGTTCCATAAGAAGAAGAAAGAACACATATAAGGTCTTAAATGTGAGGGCACAAATGCAGTATGTGTCCATAGAGAAGGTGTGTTGAAGAAGTGCCGTCAAGTACCGTAGAAATACATTGAACTGAGGGAACGAACAATCACAAAGTGCAAAATGAGAAAGTATGAAAGCTCCTGCACTCTGTTCAGTCCTTTAACTCCCTGTCGTGATAAAAGGTTTTCGACAGGCAGACGAAAGCGAGTGTTTGTCAGTAAAGTTGCCCCCCCCCCCTTCTGTCTGTTCAGCCACGAGAGCCACAGTCCAGCTCTCGGAGAAGATGGCGGCAGCCGGAGCCAACGCCGTCCTTGTAGTAACGCCCTGCTTCTACAAGGGCAAGATGGACAGCCGCGCTCTGATCCAGCACTTCACCAAGGTCAGCTTGCAGTTGAACACACCATCTCACACACTTTGGTCCTGAAGTACTGACCACAAACTAACGTGATGCAGGCGGCAGTGTGTCTGTAGGATCCCCTCACTCTGACTGCACATTGTCACTTTTATCATGAAGGTGACGCCACTCTATACAGTATATAGGCTACAGTGTGGTAATAATATAGAGTATTTAAAGTATTTAGTCCAGAGCAGTCTCAAACTGCCACCCCTCCGGCCTGCGACTTGATCTCTAAAATATTATATACTCCGGTCTGCAGGATGATTATTTTTGTAAACATTCTTTTCAAATTATTTTACTTTAAACCGCCTCTTCATAAACAATTTAAAATGTGTGCGAAGGCTTGATAAAAAGAGGTTTCTGGCCTTCATTTGTTGTTCGGCTGCGTGTGGCATGTGCAGAATGTACAGAAACTGCAGTAGGTATGACATTAGTAATGGAAATATTTTCACTTAGTGTCAGTACTTGAACATTGAAGTGGCCCCTCTATGAGATGACGATACCAGCAGTGACCCCAAGCCAGCTTGAGTTTGAGAGTATGTTTTTAGACAATATTAAAGACAGAAATAAAAAAAAACCTCAGTTACATTATAAAGTCTGCTGCTCCAGCTCCTCAGTGCACAGTGCTGATGTTTCAGAGCCGTGGTCGGAGCCTCAGTCAGAAACAACCCCTCTGCCCCTGCACTCTCTCTGATACTGCACCCTTTACTTTCAGAAGAGTCATTCTGGAGCCACAAAAGACTTAAGACTACCACCGCTAATGAGGTTCTGAAAAATATAAAAGGCTATACATTTGTACAATTGGTGAATTTAAGAATGACTTAGGCCTTCAAGAATGATACATTAAAATGTTAAAAAATAACAATTATTCATTTCATAATGTTTTTCCAGAAACCACAGGGACTGGTAACAAGAGGGATGGCCCCCACCCTCAAATCGGCCACACATTGTAAGAGTTACACTGAAACTGCAGAGGAAATCAGTTAAATCTAAGAGTTCTACCAGATCAAATGACAGATTAAAAAAATCTCAAAACCATTTTGACTCACAGTAAAACAACTTCTGTGAGACTTCAGTCAAACCTGGCTCTTTGAATTGACTGCAAATGAGGGAGAGATTATGGGAAGGAAAGTGTGGTGCTGTATTTAGGGGTCTCTCTCCCCTGCAGGTGGCGGACAGCAGCCCGGTGCCGGTGGTTCTGTACAGCGTGCCGGCCAACACGGGCCTGGAGCTGCCGCTGGACGCTGTGCTGCAGCTGTCTCAGCACCCAAACATCCTGGGCCTGAAAGACAGCGGAGGAGACGTAAGAAACACTTCCTTTTTATTCCTCCATGTAATCTGTGAGTCATGAAGAAATCCCGATCAGCTGTCAGACAAACGTTCTCTCTCTGTGAGCGTCCAGCACCTGACGGGGGTCCAGAGTTCCATGTAATGTATCAGGGTCTGAATCTTGTTTGCATCAGGCTGTTTGATATTAACCTGTTGAAGCTAGACGATGTCTCAGGAGGTCAGTTTTCACAACAATAGGTCTAAAACACACCGATAACCGATTTTCCAACCTGGTCAGCAAACTTATTGAGTTTTTACTTACTTAATTACTTGCTGAGTATTTCGAGACTGAACCAAGATAACAAACTGGATGTTAAACATTAAATTGAGCACGGTTCTGGAGCTGCATGGCCTCTTTTTTTTATATTCATATGATAAAGTTCATGTTTCTCCATCAGATGCTTTCCACTGGGAAAATCCTCGAGTCAGGTGTAGGAAACATTCATTCGGTGTCTGTGTCTACTACAAAGTCTCTTGAGAGGTCACCTGTTTCAAGCAAACGCCTCATGCAGGGCCACAATTAGAGAAGTGGAAATGAAAACCACTAAAAGTCTGAAGCCGTGTTAGCTGCCCGGTGAACAGTGATGTTCATTACACCAGAAAACAAAACGGATGAGGATTACAGCGGTGGTTCCCAACCTTTTTCCTTAAGAGACACATTTAATTGAAAAATTAACTAACTGACTAAGTGACATATTTTATGGATATGCAGGATGATTATTTTTGTAAATATGTTTTTCTAATTATTTCACTTTAAACCGCCTCTTCATAAACAATTTAAAATGTGTGCGAAGGCTTGATAAAATTATGTACAGAAACTGCAGTAAGTATGACGTTAGTAATGGAAATATTTTCAGAATACATAGTGTCAGTACTTGAACATTGAAGTGGCCCCTCTATAAGATGACGATACCAGCAGTGACCCCGAGCCAACTTAAGTTTGAGAGTAAGTTTTGAGACAATATTAAAGATCCAAGACAGAAATGGAAGAAGGACTGAGAGAAAAAGCCTCATTACATTATGAAGTCTGCTGCTCCAGCTCCTCAGTGCACAGTGCTGATGTTTCAGAGCCGTGGTCGGAGCCTCAGTCAGAAACAACCTCTCTGCCCCTGCACTCTCTCTGATACTGCACCCTTTACATTCACAAGAGCCATTCTGGAGCCACAAAACATATCTGAGCATACCAGTCCATAGCCAGCCTAGCTAAAACGGATGAAAGGATTACAGCAGTGGTTCCCAACCTTTTTCCTTAAGAGACACATTTAAATGAAAAACTAACTAAGTGACATATTTTATGGATATTTTATATTATCTTAAATGTATAACAATGAAAATACACAACAACTGATAAACTGTGCAATGAACCTAGATAGTGAAAGGAATAACTGCAGGAAGTTTGTGTAAAACAAGCAATTTGGATGAATTATCAGCAGATTATTTCCTGTAAATATTTTTTGAAACGTTTTATACAATTCTCTGTCTGTATCATCTATTTTCTTAAATGTTAAATCACAGAGTGGAGGCTTTGAATAATAATAACCTTGAGATCACATTTTGGCAGCAATAAAATAACAGTATTAGTACAATGTGATGCTGCACTAGACACAGGCCTGTATCCCTTTGTTCACACTTTGCAGATTTTTAGTAAACTTTCTGCCGTCAAGCAGACGGTGCAGACTGAAGTGTGTGTAGTTTTCTCCTGCAGGGTTGATTCCAGGGTTACTTGTTGGAGGAAAAAAAAAAGAACAGTTTGCTCTTGTTGAGCTCTTAGTACCTTTTCGTCTGTGTGGGAAGCGCTTACAAGAAGTTGCAAATGGATTTCTGATTTTGGAAATAACATGTTTGTCCACTTGCTGGGAGACAGGAGCGTGGGTGTAGTTCAAGCACACAGCGGCCCTGCTCAATTGTGGGCGTGAAGAGGCCAAAGACAGAAAACAATGGGTGATGGGTCAATTTGAGAGAGGCAGACAAGTTGCAGAAAGATTATTCAGAGTGGCAAACACAAATTTCTCCACATCAGCTGGCTCCTGCTGTTCCGCACAGGGCTTTTCTTTTTTAGCGAGGATGGTCTTTGCTGGAATTGAATCCTGTTATATTTTGACCAATTTGAAAGGGGTTTTCAAGAGGTCAGACATATTTCCAGAAAACAAATTGGTGTTTTATCAGCAGACTGTGGCGTGGACGGGCTTGTAGGCCAAGTTTGAATTGTGTCACAGCAGCCTCTCACTGCATGACCATCTCTGGTTCATCTAAAAGAGCATGTGATTGGTTGTGCTGCCATGTGGAAAAGCTTCTTTATTGCCTTTTTCCTTTTCACTGCCTGTGTTTCTGTGTACATGAAAGCGGGAGCCCATTGCATGTGACTACAGTTTGCCAGAGCTGATTGTGTCTCCTGGAATCAACTGAAAATCGTGTTTTAGCTGAATTACAACTCTTGGTTAGATAATAACATTTTATAACTGATTAAACTCATGAAACTGGGTCAGGGCAACAGCCCATAAAAATGCTGATCATATTTAATATCGTCGCTGTTGGACTGAAACCTTCGATGTCCCAAACTATTGTTTTTATTTTCTGAAATAGTTGAACAGTGCAGTACTTTTGGTTTTAATACTTTGCCTTTCATGTTTTTCGTGAGTTTCATGGTCACCGTAGTCTCTTCTTCATGCATGGAAGGGCAAGCTGTACTCAATCCTTCACACTGGACCTTTAAGAAGTCACTGTAATTGGGTATTTTCAGGGTTTGTAGATTAAGATTATGAGTCATGATATATTTACTGATGTGTAAATGATTTCTGTTGAATAATATAACTTTGTGGTTGACAAGTAGCTTAACTGCTAAGGTCATCTAAGTGCAGGTCCGTGGCTTTGATTGGCTTTGAAATGATTCCTGTTACAGTTAAGTTGCATGAACCTTGTGCTAGCGGTTGCTAAATAGGTTAGCCTAGATGCTGCTAGAATTAGTTCAATCAGTTCTGGGGAGTATTTCTTTATCGAGAGAACAGCAAAGAACGACACTGAAGGCTTCTCTTGATGGAAAAGATGTTTCCGCTCTTCTCCCGACTTGCTAAGAGTTCGACTGCGTGAGACTGTTCGTTGATCTGATTGGCTGAAATTTGCTAGTGATGGATGTTGGTAGGCAGATGGTTCATTCAATCAGACACCAATACAGTTCCCAACGACGACTTCCCAGATGGTTCTGTGTAAAAACCAGCAGCTCAGGTAAGGAGCTGAGATTCAGTGGGAAAAAACTGGAAAAGCATTTACACACTTCCTGGAAGAAGGAAACACTCCAATCAAAAGCTCCCTCGAGTGTGAGAATGCAGTAAAAAGTACAATATTTCCTTCTGTAGTAGAGTGGAGAAGAAGAACTAACACTAAAATTGGGAATTAACATGAAAGTTGCACCTAAGTACAGTACTAACTTTCCATCATTTGGAGTATTCCACAAACCATCTGTTTTGAGACTCACGTTGCAGAGCTTGTTAGAGGATCAGTGGCAAAATCCTTCAGATTCAAACCAGTGATATGAAGACACAACAAGTAGAAAAAGATTTGTTTGTGGTGTCTGTGTTTCTATTTTGGGCATGCAAGACTTAGCAGCAGTGTGATTGCCACTTTTTATTGCTCTGTATTGAGATTCTGTGGTGCTGAGGACTGTGGAGAGAAACAGATCTGACAGATGTGGAACTGGTAATTTGTGAATAAATGACTAGCACACACTGTTTGTGAACAATCAGGAGGCTCCGCTGGAAGGTTCAGTCAGGTCAGGGGTCATTTATCATCCACCAATCCGTCCTAATTGTCTCCCATCTGAACTCTCTGAAGGCCACTCATCTGTAGGGCTTTCAGTGATCTTGTCATGTAGTTAAGATGCTTGCTGCTTAAACAATTCCCCCCTCAGGGATCATTAAAGTTTCATCTCCTCTGATTCCTTCTGTCCACGCTGTTGCACACACACACACACACACACACACATACACATCGGTGAATCAGTCGTCTTTACACACTAAGTTCAACCTGCCTGTTCAATCAGTTATTGTTTTCAAGTGAAATAATTACAACGCCTACTGTTCCTTATCCCTGCAAGAGAGCCGGGATCGTTTATAGTGGCGTCTCGCTTACAACTGAAAAAAAGTCATGAACGCTTTAAAATTATGTGATAACACTCGAATCTAACTGCTCATTCATTTCCTCCGTGGTCACGAAAAACTTTGTTGTGATTAAGATGACAAGCTTGTCTCCACAGTCACAGTCAGTCAGACTAATAACAATTTCAATCTGATTACTACATTTTAAAATTTTTATTTAATTATTAATGATTAATACGTTTTAAAGGTGCAGTAGGTAATTTTTATAGAAATAACTTGTTGTCATATTTGCTGAAACTTTCACTTTATACTGACAGAAGTCCATGAGACAGATAAAAAAATCAGGTTCCTCTGGTTCCTCCTAGTGCTCCTAACGGTATCTGCAAGAATCCACCGGGACTAGTAGCACTAGGAGGAACCAGAGGAACCTGATTTTTATCACAGATTATCTGTCTCATGTAGAATATGTGTCAGAATATAGAATAGAATATAGTGAGTTTTGTTAAGTTTTCAGCAGTTTTAAAATTCAAGTTCTTATACTCACAGAAAAACTGAAAAAGCTGAGTTTAACAGTGTCAAATCAAGATAACTTGTTGTAAAAAAAACATAAGCATGTGCATGATTCTCTACAGAAGCATACAGGTTTAAAGATCTATTTTAGTTTTATATATACTCAGAACAGTAAAAAGTGATTTTCCATTTGTTGCCTCAAGGCAACGCATTAGGGCTACTTGTAAAGGTTACATCATCAATAAGAGAGATGTAAATGCCTTTGTTACCTACTAATACTCACAGGCAATAATGGACACAGGTCATAGCGAGTGGATGGTGGCCTTGAGGCAGTATGGATCCCACAATCAGCTTTAAGAGGCGGTTATGCCTGTTTCACCAGCCAACACACATAGATGGATCCTATAGAATCAAAACAAGAATAATCAATAATTCCCATTAATGATATGAACAACATTTTGAAAAGTGTAGGAAGGAAGAGAATAACATGCAGCCACACTCATGTATTTTATTTCTTTTGTAAAGGCAACAAGCAGAAATCTGTTTAATGACTAGAAGAACGTGCTGCCTGAGGCTCCACAGAGAATGAGAGACCAGATAATGAAGACGGAGTTTCAGAGCACATACTCGAACGAGACATTGACACTGCGAGGCTTAGCGCTCAATTATGATTTATTGCTCAGATTTGATTTCTGTCTGTTTACATTTTTTAAATGTGGAAAATGGTATTCATAGGTATTTATTAGTTATATATTTATTATTGTTTCTGTTACCTTAGAATGAGTCGTGGGTCGCCTTCCATGTAGGCTGCCATGTTTCTGCAGTAGCCCAGAATGGACAAACAAACAACACTGGCCCCTGGTAGGGGTATTTTTTGCGCCTTTTTGTCCACAGTAGTTTCTCCGTCGCACTTGGAAGAGGAGGATTTGTGGGGGAGCAAATCTACGACTGCACCACTAGATGTCATTAATCCTGCACACTGCTCCTTTAAAATATTCTAAACCTCCTTCTGCTGGGGACTCACTACAACCCACACATGGTTCCCTGTTGGTCCCTAGAACCCAGTTTGAAAACTAATACAACTAAGGCAAATATGCATATCTAAAGCATATTTCTTATTATTTAATAATTACAACTGAAAACTGGGTTTTCTTGGTGTCTTTATGCCCATATTGTAAAGTAATGCCCTGAGGCAACAACAAAATATCTGGGCGGGGATGACCAAGTCCCCAATCTTCAGCAGAGGGTTAAGTGTCCCTTTGCTCTCAAACTGCACACTGCACACTAATGACGATAATGAGACTTAAAAAAATAAAAGCTAATGAGTGTTTTTCTGTCACCGGGGCAGACAGTACTCTTGCTGCGATGTTATTTTCCCACTGGGGAGCTGTATCAAAATAGCCCGAGTGCTAAAGCTTTCAGGAGACCAGCAGGAGCTCCTATAACCTGATTGACTGACTGATCAATTACAGTCCTGCGTGTTTGAAATGACTGATATGGGGAAACTGATTGACACCCAGCAGTTAAAAATAGACCCTCCCCGGTAACGGTGATGGAGACTGAAACCGGAGGCTGCAGGTTTTCCCTGCGGAGTTTTCGTCTTCATGTGTAGAGTCGTCTTACGCTCCCTTTGAACATTTCAGGTTTATTTGGATTCGGCGCTTCATATCCGGATTGACAAAAGAGAATTAAAAGACGCAAAACAAAATAGCGAGCTTATCAATTATTCATGAGCTTTTCCCATCCTTCTCCTCCCCCTTCCTCCTCCTCTTTTGAAGTTGATTCCTCTTTTTCTGTCACTTGGGATTTGTTTTTTTTTCTCTCCCTCTTTCTTTTCTTCCTCTGTTTGGGAACGATCCCTCTCCTTCCAAAACCTCCACCATGTGAAGAGTCAATGCTGGTCTCAATTTGAGCGATTTGTTTACCGTGTGAGATGTTGGCTTTGTCGTTGTCTCTTGTGACAGCCTCTCCTGGGATTAAAAAAAAAAAAAAGACGACATCAGATATTAGTGCTGGCAGCAGGGAGGAGTGGTGACAGTGGAACAGTGATTTTATAAATCTTTTTCTTCTGTCTCTCTCTCTGTTTCTTTTTAACTCTTTCCTCAGATCACACGGATCGGCCTGATCGTTCACAAAACCAAAACGCAGGATTTCCAGGTGTTGGCGGGCTCAGCAGGGTTTCTCATGGCCGCCTACTGTGTCGGTAAGAAGCCTTAAAACAGGACAAACAGCAATGTTGTGTTCGGTAGCCTTCATATCCTCCAGGCTTCGATCTCCCCTACTGTTGTTTTCCTTTTCACCCAACGAGGAATTTATTATGTTGTCTTTCTTTAATAATAAAATAATTCAAAAATATCTACTCGTCATACACATGAAACTGCTGGCTAACAGATGTCAACACCCTCCCCCCCTTGTTACCTATAAACCCTTGCATTCACTTCCTGTTTCAGATTTCACTAATACTCGAGATGAACAGAGCAGCTTCCTGAAGGGATGGTGTGTCACTGTCTGTTCAATGTGCACAACTTTAGGAACATCGTCCTCATATTGAGTTACCCAGGCTACATGTCTTAAACATGTCCTAATTTAAATCTAATTAGATTGATTTCCAACCTCCCAAGCAGCTGTTTCATTTAATTTCTCTATAAAAATCAATTAACAAAAGCATGGAGATGACTAGAGATTGGTAATCCATCATAAATTGCAATTAGTCAACTTGAATTACTTTGCTGAAGTTATGTTATCATTGCATCTGCAGTTGGAAGTGGGAGCTGTTTTAGAAACTCTCCACTCGATTTTCACCTTGGATAATGAATAGCATTGAATTCATGAGCAATGTGGTTGACTGACAAAGCTGGAAGACAAAAAAATAGCAAATATTGACCTTGTTGAAAGGAAATTTGGACATTTTGAAGTTACATTCTTGCTGTTTGTTTACTACGTATAGTCTCATATTAATCCCTCGACTGATACATTCTTAGCACCAAACAGCAGACAAAGTTCGCAATGTGCTGGTTAAGAAAAGGGAAGACTGAACACCTCGTTAATGTCATCATCTACTTGTATGTAGTTGTATGTCAACTGTGCTTCCTCCAGTTTTATTTCCACATTAAATGTCCAAAAAGTAAACTTGAATGAACAACGTTTAATGATGATGAACCATTTTTTATGTAGACTGCTGTGTGTTTATATAAACCCAATCCAGTAAAACATTTCGCAGAGTTCTCTCATCCTGCAGGAATTATCATAAAACCAGTTTCTCAGCAGAGTTATGTAGTGATGTCTTCTACCTTCTCAGTATGTCAGCCATGTACAGTGTACTGTAAGGCTGGATTAGATAACACGTTAGGGGACAGGCATCAATATGATGCTAAGAAACCTAATGAGTCATGTTCTCTGACTGCCCCACACTAACACACCGTCACACACTCACCCACTCCCACAGCTCTGTAATCTTTTCTCTCTGACATATTCTCATCTCCATAACTGAAATATGGGAGTAATTGGCAGTGTGTGTATGTGTGTGTGTGTGTGAGGGACACAGCTAATGCAGAGCAATGAAACGCCAGTGAGTGATTGATATGCTAATGCATCCCTGCTGTGAGTGCATGTTCAAGTTTTGATGTCCAAATTCATGCTCTCAACAATGATGCTGAGAGGGTCGGGCCGTCTTCTTGTCAATCAAAACCTCGCAGAGCTTCACCACAGAAGCTTTGAAGACTGTTTCCATCACATCTGCTTCGGTTCTCAGTGAAGTTGCCAAATCTGAAAACCCTGATTATTTTCCATAGGTTGTCAAAGGGGGAACGTGTCAGATTCAAGCCCAAAATCTCTGGTCTCACGATTGTCCTGTTCCCCTGACAGAAATGAGTGTCATACAGCTGTTGATTTATGATGATGATTGATTATTATGCAGGAAAATGTCTTTAACTTTGTGAAATTGTACCTTGTGGGTTGTTCATGTTTTTGTATAAGCATGTTGTAGTTAAACTGCTGGTGATATCGGCATTTTGAAGGTTATATATACAAAATTGACTTGCCACTAGATGTCGCACTAGAGCACCAGCATCTCAGACTAAAACAATGGGCACTACGGCCCAACCCCCAGGTTAGCTACCCAGCTAACAACAACTTATATTTCCGTTGTCGGCTGTCAGCTGCTTTATACAACAAGTCCATCTGGAAATTTTTAATTTCATCTGGACTAAATAGTGAGGTGTTCTATTTTATATCTTTGGACAGAGCTAGGCTAGCTGTATCCCCCTGCCTCCATCCTTAAGCTAAGCTAATTGCCTTCCTGAATGACACAAATCCTATAACATGAGAATGATTTCAGTCTGAAGTAGTCAAACAATCAAAACGTATTTTTATCTGCAAAGGACAGGTGTTAGAGGGTTAATTGATTGTTACTGATTTAATTAGAGTGACTGTGTTGATTTCCATGTGTTGTTAGTGAAGGTTTATGGCTCTGGCCTCGAAACCTTGGCTCACTGTTCTCCCTCTTTCCTGGACATGTTTGAACCAGATAGCGTCTCTGGTTGGCGAGCTGTCACTCGTAGTGCAGTGAGGAGGCGGGGCGGCGCGCCTGTCAGTCAGCAGCGTTAGGCAAGCTGCTGTCAGCCGTGTGATCCGAGTGGCGGCGGGCCACAGAAACAGAAATCAGACAGAAAATCCGCCCATCAGCAGCCGCCGGCTTGTCTATCCACAACAACAACTCCAAGGCCGCAGACGGAGGCTGACTCTCTGCTTTTCTCCTCCACCAGACAGACAATGAGATGTCACACTGAAAGGCCATAATATCTTGTTGCCTGGGAAAATATATATGTATCTATCTCTGTGAATAAAAAAACAGACATCATAAAGCGCCGCTGCTTACTGATCTGTCAGGAAAGAAAAATAACAGGAAGGAATGCTGGAGCTGTATCTCAGAAACGATCTGTGTTGACAGGAAATCATTTATGTTTGTGTTGACAGTGTAAAAGTAGGAGAGTGATGGATGGCTTCATTTAGAAGGAATATATGTTCAGGCCTTTCTGTTTAGTTTTATCTTCGGCTGTTTGAATTCTCTCCACACGTTGTCATGTGAAAACTCTTGAGCAACTCAAGTGCTTCTTGTAGTGTGCTGTGATGCATGCCAATGTTTCAGTGCATGATTTAATATTCTAAACATCCTAAGTGCTGAGTTGAGTGAACTGATCAAACAGGGTTTCTCAGGGCCACCTCCTTCAAGCTCAACATTAGTATGTAACTAAACCCGATAAGAGTACAGCCCTTAAAAAACAGGTTTGCAGAAATAATCCATTTGCTTCCGTTTATTGTTCTGCAAAATCTGATACTTTATAGCGAAGGAAACCAGACAGATTTAATGTTTGTGAGTCCAGTTTTCTCTGGAAAAAGCTCCTAATGGTTTTACATTTTTAAATTTTTCAATATATTTCTTTCATTTTTAGTCCTGCTAGCGTAGAGGATTGAGGGATGGCAATGTCAGTTGGTTGATCCACCACTTTGATCCAGACTAAAATATCTCAGTAACAACTGGATGAGTTGCAATGAGATTTTGTCCAGACATTCATGGTTCCCAGTGGATGAATCATGAATTACCGGTGACTTTGGTAATTCCCTGACTTTTCCTCACGTGCCACCATGAGGTTGACATTTGTGGTTTTAAAGGTCCAGTGTGTAACAATGAGGAGGATCTATTGACAGAAATGTAATATATATATAGATATGTTTTCATTAGAGTACAATCACCTGAAAATAAGAATTGTTGTGTTTTCGTTACCTTAGAATGAGACATTATTATCTACAGAGGCCATTATGTTTCTACAGTAGCCTGGAATGGACAAACTGAACACTCTGTAGGCCCTTCAGGGTTTCAAGGCCAATGTAGTTTCTCCTACACCAGTGGTTCTCAAACGTTTTACCTTAATACACCCCATTTGAAATATGTTTTCAGCTTTCCTCTGACCAGCACAGAACACTTTTGGTCGATTAAAAAAAATCCTGTATAAAGAGGCACAGCCTTGTAACTCAGATATTAAGAATCCATCACTAAATTCATGGCGAACCAATTTTTAATCATCATGCAGTAACACTAAGACGGCATTGAAGTTGCATTGAACTGTGTCTTTTTGAACATTTTTGCACAATTTAATGAGAAACATTAGGATTGTGCAGGATGTTAGTCGTTCATTCTTAGTGGCAGCTGCAGGGATCAAACTCGTTTACAGAGATTTAGGGCCATTTACAGCAGTTAATGATTGCATTGAAAAATGGGAATATTGCATTGAAAATGTGGTTTATTGAACTTGCATTTATAGTTTTATAAATATTATGTGTTACAGAATAATTATTTTAGGAATTAGGCATGACCAACAAACAAAAAAACTTTTTTATTGAGATAAATGATATTACTCAGAAAGGACGTTGATGTTCAGAAGGTCAGGAGCATATCTCATTGTATAACAGTATATCATTGGCTTAAAAAAAGAAAAAGAAAGGATAAAGTTCTGTCGCTCTCATTGATCCTTTAACGCTCCACTGTGATCTGGGTGTCTAGGTGCAGTTGGCGGAGTGTGTGCGCTGGCTAACGTGCTAGGCCCGGAGCTGTGTGAGTTGGAGCGTCTGTGTGTGTCCGGTCGCTGGGAGGAAGCCAGAGTCCTGCAGCAGCGCCTCATCGAGCCCAACGCAGCCGTGAGTACCATCTGCTGCACGGCAGACGCTTTTATCCGCCGCACCACAGAGCGAAAGAGACAAACTCCCACAAGTAGTGCCGGACCGGAGGTTTAGTCACATTGCTTAGAACTGATCTGGAGCCTGAAATCATCTCACTGGTTGCATTAGACCTCAGTGGGACACAACACAAATCCCAATAGTTTTGGGCTAAAAACAGCAATTATTTAGACCCGTATATGTTGTGCTGTTTTAACTCTAACTGTATTGTTTTTGCATTAGCTGTATGTATGTTGTACTTGTTGTATTGACTGCTGCTGCTGCCAGACCAGCATTGTAAATGGGAACTGGCTCCCAATTGACTTATGTGGTTAAATTAAGGTAAAATAAATAAATTAATGAAATAAAAATTTAAAAATCAAAAATTAAAATTAGTGTGACAAGGTTTCTTTTTATGGATCACAAATAAAAAGTTAATGTTATTTGATGTAAAAATTAATGTATCATTTAGTCTTTTTATATTCTGTATAGAATTAAAAATTGGAAAATTAAAGAATAAATGTTATTCATTCAGGTACTGCCATCAGTGTATTTACTGCATGTAAGTTTATCAAATGCAACACAAAGACATCTGCAACTTCCTGGTCACACAAATCTGACACATTAAATATCACAATCTAATTCCGTTTCGTGGCCCTTTTTTTCATTTCCTATTTTCGACTTAGCATAAAATTAAAAGTATGAATAATGCTAATAAGGCATCATTGCAAACCAGATTAGAGACATATTTAGAGACATAACAAGCAATTAAAAACAGTAAAGACACTGAACCCTCAGTTAACTTCTACATTACATGAAACTGAAACAGACTCCAAATGAGACGACAGCTGGCACAAAGTTAAATGTCAGAGTTCTTTATGTTCTCTGAGCCGCTCGGAGTGAGATGTGTGAGCACTGAATAATTAACTTCCGGCTATGTGTCTGTTAAGGTGTGTTAAATGTCACTGCCCGAACAGCATCAATCACAAAAACCCAACTTTATAATCCTCTAATATCAAGTTACAGTCAGAGTCCGGATGCGGCTAAGCAGCCAAATATCGACCACAAATAGTAAAGATGTCAGATTTTAAGTGTCTGTATTGATAAAGCTTAGAAACCACACTGTGGCCTTCTCTTAAGGTGGGGGTGCATGGAAACTGATTGGAGCTCTGTGTTGCTAGGTGACCAGGAACTTAGGAGTTCCCGCCCTCAAGCAGGCGATGGAGTGGTTTGGTTACCACGGCGGCGCCTGTCGATCACCTCTTCAGCCGCTCACAGAGGCCGAGACGCAGCAGCTGAGGCGGGACTTCTCCTCCAATGGCTGGCTGTGAGGTGACCTGGGCAGAGAGTGTGTGTGTGTGTGTGTTCACTTCACCTTTTAGCTGTTCCGTCCTTTCATCTGTCAGAGGGGGGAAGAATGCAAGAATCTGCTGCTGCCTCACAGCCCTCCATTAATATACCAAAAACCTAATCATCTTATTCAGTTTAAATAAAATATACACGTTAAGTTCACCTCACTCGTGGCTGCATGCAGCAATGCAGTGAGTGATGTTTTATATCATACTTTATACTTTAGGCAAGGAGGTTCCAAAATAATTTAAAATCCACGTTTTGTTGAAGTGTATGCAGAATGGTCTGCTTGGACTAATTAAAATTACAATAATCTGTAATTATACCAATTGTGTTCATTGCTAAAGTTTCCCTGCTGGACACAAGATGTCTCCTTCCTTCACTGTGAAGTCCATTCTCAGTGTCTGTGCTGGTGGATCTCACTGTAGAAGTTGCATACTGGACCAGGATTGATTTGAAGCCACAGATTATGCTCGTAGGCCCAGCCCCTTAAAATCTGATTATCAGTGAGCTCAGAGAAACTTCCATTTTTCAGTCAGATGAATGTAGAAACATCTTTCTAGTGTCTTATGTCACCCTTTTTGCAGACTGGATGATGGATCAATCATTGTGTGCCACTGAACTGACAACTGCTGAAAAACGACGTTCTGTTCTTATTCATTCTTCTGTTTCCTTTACACTCAAACTAATCACCACAAAGCTGTTAGTTCCGAATATTCAGTGAGGTCAGAGAAATGTTGTGCAGTAAGTGTTGTATGTGCACTTGTTTTGACAATAAAACTGCATTTTACTTGAATAATTTAATGTTTTCCTTTTTATTTCAACTGTGAAGAAAAATCATTTTTATACATAGAGATTGGTGTTTTAGTTTGAACCCTTTGAACTGCAATAGAAATGGTAAGCTTAAAGGTTATATAAGTCAATAAACCATAATAACTGAAAAAATGGTAAATGTACTGTACTTGTAGAGCGCCTTTCTAGTCTTTGCGCCTTTCCGACCACTCCAAACGCTTTTACACTACGTGCCACATTCACCCTTTCACACACATTCACACAGTGACGGCAAAGCCCATCGAACAGAAACTAACTCATTAATTAAAATTCACAGCAGTGTAGTGTTCAGTATCTTGCTTCGACATGCAGCAGTAGGAGCCAGGGATCAAACCAACAACCTTCCAATTAGTGGACGACCCACTCTACCTCTGAGCCGCCCGATACTCCTGCGGAGGTCAGTTTTTAGAGGGTCACAGATGAACAGTTGTAGTGCTGTAATTTAAAGGTGCAGCATTGCAGGTAGCAAATAAGGAGTGATTTTAAACATGTAACCAGACTTGTTGGTACAGGACGTTTGGCAGCCTCATATAATTCTGATGTATGTATGTGTTGTTGCTTTATCTCTGTCTGACGGGTGATCTGGGCGACTGGACAGGTTGGAGCTTTAGTTATTCTAAAAAATAAACACCACTGGTGGATTTAAGATCAGCCATAGTTCAGCAGGCGGCAGAAATGTTGGTCATATTCCCAGTTTGCAGCAGAATAAACTGGCAGAGCACTCTTGGATATAGTAACAAAATTAGAGTGGTAATTAAAGCCAAGTATAGCAGGTAGCCATGGTAATAGGATCCTTCAGCTTTTTTACATTCTTTGCATTTATCTAACCATTAGTCTGATTAACACCTTTTTTAGCAGGAGATCTTTTCAAAGGTATACTTTTTGATCATAAAGAAAGGATGCATAGTGTGCCTTTGTTATATGGACGCCGTCCAGGAGACTCGTGAGGGAAAGTTCTCATTAGAGCCAGTACGTTGAAACCACCACCCAGTTTACTGTGAATCACTGCTTATATTTCTGTTTTTCAAAGGATTTTATGGAACATTCCAGCCTTGCTCTTATATTTTCCACTCCCTTTAATGTGAAATGTTTAAATTATTTAGGATATTTTGAAATATATAGATATTTTGGAATACAGGCTCCTTTTACTGTGGCAGACCTTTCTTATTGTGCACACTTTGACTCAAATAATATAAATATTCAGGGTAATAAATACGCATATACGCATATATCCCGTATTTTGGGGGATGTGGAGGTTTTGCAACTGGCAACTTCTGTGACTACACCAGCCTTATTTTGAAATGTAGTCGTTGGTTGCATTAGTAGCCGTCATTTTCTCTGGTGTATGTGGCTTTATAACCATGTATTTCTTGTATTGTGGCTGAAAGATAATAGTCTTAGGTGTCATATTTGGTTAATAAAATAAAATTAAACTTTCCCATTAACTTGGTTTTCAGGGCCTTAAGTCTGTTTTTAAGAAACACATCTGGAAATTATTAACAAATCACTTTAGTTTCTTTGATTTGGTCTGATTATGTAAAAAGTAAAATGGAGTTTCTGGAGGAGGGTCCGCCTTGGCTACGACCTTCCTGACCTGCTTTTGTTTTTAGATCAGAGACAAGAGACAAATTGATAAATTAAACCAAATCTTAACAGTTTTTGATTGTTAAAAGAATGTAAAAAATACATAATACAGACAGAATTGCATAAAACGTTCCATAAACAGGAAATAATCGGCTGAAAATTCTCCACAATCACTTGTTTTACACAACGTCCTGCAGTTACTGAGTTCAATGTTTGGGTTCATTGAACAGTTTTGAATATAATATAAAATATCCATAAAATATGTCATGAAGGTGTCCCTTAAGGAAAAGGTTGGAAACCAAAGACCAAAACATAAGCATAAAAATCATACTTGGGTTGCTATAAGAGAATTTTGTGAGAAAACAAACAAAATACATTGTTTAATTTCACACTGTAAAACCAGATAAGTTAATTTAACTAAAAAATGTTTTGAAACTGATAGAAAATTGAGTTTATTAAGACTTAGACAGACTTTATTTGTCATTTGGATTTGCATCAAAATGAAATTACGTTACAATGGCACATAGCACAGCAGGAATAAAGGGGAGGCAGTATGTACAAAATTAAAAATTAAAAAAAACTTTTGTATAAAAGACCAGTTAGATAAAATATATTTCACAGTGTAGTTGCCTATGTAAAAGAAACGTTACATACAAATCAGATAAAAAAAACGATAAATTAGTGGTAGTGGATGTTACTATAGTATGTTACATAGTCACTGTTGATGTTCATCAAAATATAGATGAAAAGGATGAAAAGGACTGACACAGCGGTA